GCTAATCTTCCTCAAAAAAAAAAAAAAAAAGACGCAGAAGAATGCGTCAAGTGTGAGCTTTCGGGGTTTTTTTTTTTAAAAAAAAGGAAAGAAGAGAAAAAGAAGATGAGCATTTACATACAAAGCCTCTTTCAGGCAGCTGAACCAAGAGATTGGGCCTCTCGGGGCCTGGGAGCTGAGTGGGGGAGCTCTTCCTGCCACAGTAAACCCTTGTGTAGCTCTGGAATGTTATGTACTGACTGTTCCAAAGGAAAAGCATTTTCATGCTAATCAGAGATTGGCATCTCCTATTTTAAAAACCCTTTGAAAAGAGGACCCCTAAGTTGCTCCTGGTCAAATCTAGGAGAGGGGATGGTGTCTTCCATCAGGAGATGTTGGCCTGGGGGCTCCTGTCGCAGCTGGGTCACTGCGGGCAAGTCCTCTCACCTCCCAGGGGGCGTCCTGGTGTTAGCCCTGGATGTCCCGAGCACCGTGGATGGTTCATTGCAGCATCTCTGGGCCCAGGGCTTTTATTTGCTGAATTTTTCAGACCTTGCGGGGGTGCTGGTGAAGAGGAGGAGAAATGGTAGCTTCCCAGATGCCAGAGAGGGGGCGGAAGCAGGAGTGATGACCCAGGGCTTCCTGCGAGTGGGAAGGTCAGGGTGGGTGGTGAGTGGCAGGTCCCCTTAGGGGTGGGGCCCTTTCTCATCCCTCAGTCTCAGCCTCATGGGGGGCCAGGCCAGCTCTGACCGCCCCTCCCAGGGGACAGAGATGGAGGAAGAAAGAGAGGACCAGCCCTGGGGGATAGGTGAGTGTGGACTTCAAGTGAGGGGTCTGAGCCTGCCAGGGGTGAGAGGCAAGGGGTGAAGGTCCTTTGTGCCCCCACCCTGGTGCCCCCCAACCCAGCAAAGGGAAAGAAAGCTGAGACTGATGGAGAATGAAAGGTCAGGCAGAACTAGGTTCAAAAACGCCTCTTCCCCAAAGGCTGTGTGGCTTTGGGTAGCTTACTGCACCACTCTGGGCTCGTGTCCTCCTCTATGAAATGGGAATTTTCAATGCACTTGCTTCCCAGCCAGGGCTGGATGTCTTCATCTCTGGGAAGCTCTTGGCACAGGGCCTGGCACCGAGCCCACCACGCTTTTCCCTGCCCAGGCTGGCTGGCGGGCAGCACCAGCTCAAACCGGTTAGCCCACCACCCCGGGGAGGAAAGCAGGCACTGGGTGCCTGCTCTGGGCAGGGGAGGACACTGAGGCAACGCGCCACCGGGAAGGGAAGGGAATGGAAAGTCGAGGCTGCGTGCGTCCAAGCTCAGATGCACACGTGCCCCCGGAAACACAGAGACGCCCCCAGAGACAGACACACACTCAGAGACACATGGAGCCCTAGACGGACACAGAGGCACACAGACAGACACACAGACACACGTGGACAGGTGCACCCAGCAGGCCCTCTGTCCGAGGCTTTCTCGGACAAATTCCACGTCTTGCCTCGCCTCCCTCCATCCTCTCTGCCCTTAGTGAACATCTGTGAAGCCCCCTCTGTACCAGGCCTTGTTCTAGGAGTCAGGGTCACAGGGGGTCAAACCGACGCCCCTGCCCTTGAGGGGCCGGCGCTGTCCAGGGGGAGGCTATCAGTGCCCAGGATGAACGTGCAGCCGAGAGGGAAGAGGACCACTGGGGGAAAAGGGAATGTGATGGCAGGCTGGGTGGGGCAGGGTGAGCCTTTGACTAAACACCCAAAGGAGTAAGAGAGGGGCCGCATGGACATGCAGGAAGAGTGTTCCAGGCAGAGGGAACAGCCAATGCAGAAGCCTCTGCACTCCTCCATCCTCCCATATTCTTCCCCTCCCCCAGTCCCGACTCAGGCCATTGGGATAGGTTGGGGGGACAAGGAGGGGAGAGCGGTCCCTCCACATATCTGCCCCCCAGCTGGCCTGGTTAGTTTCCATTCCGCAGATGAGGACACCACGGGACTCAGAAAGGCTGTGTCACACAGCTGAGGTCACACAGCACAAATGCAGGTCCGGGTCTGTCTGAACTGGGGGCCTCTGTCTTCGGGCAGAGGAGCCCCCATTGAGGGCGGAAATCTAGATTGGCAAAGGCTGGGCCAGGAAAGACAGTCCACGGAGGGCCTGTGACAGCCTGGTGTGGGGTGCCAGAGCATGAGTGACTGAATTGGACACTGCAGGGTGCAGAGAGGCAGGGACAGACAGACAGACAGACATCCGGGACTTCAGTAGCCCCAACCCCTGCTGGAACGGGGAGCAGCAGCCCTGGAGACCACCAGAGGGGGCAGGTCCAGAGGGGCAGGTGACGGGGGCACACGGCAGGGGTTATAATTTGGACACTGAGTCAAGATGAGGGGTGGCGGGGGTGACAATGTAAGCAGGACCTGGATGGGAAGTTCCAGGTCTCTTTGAATCTCCTACAAACGTGGTGGCTTCCAACAGCACACATTCATTGTCTGACAGTGCTGGAAGGCAGACGTCCAAAATGAGTCTCATTGGGCTAAAATGAAGGGGCCAGTAGGGCTGTGATCCTTCTGGAAGCTGTAGGGGAGAACTCATCTCCTTGTTTTTCCCGTTTCTGGAGGCCGCCTGCATGCCTTGGCTCAGGGTCCCCTCCCTCCATCCTAAGATTCAAAAGTCCAGCATCTTCCACTCTCTCTCTGGCCCTCCTACCTTCTTCTTATAAGGCCTCTTGTGATGACATTGGGCCACCAAGATAACCCAGGGTCACAGCTCACCTCCAGATCTTTACCTGAACCCCACTGCTGTGTAAGGTCACGTTCTCACAGGTCCCGGGGGTTAGGGTGTGTGGACAGCACTGGACGGCCATTATTCTGCCTGGCACAGGGTCCGCTGTCCAGGCTCCAGGCCTGGCCGTGATGGCCCCGGGGTCTGGAAAAGGCCTGTGTGCCTGGGACCAGCCGCCTGGCTGGAGGGGAGCAGGAGACGCGCTCAGCTGAGCACGTGGATGGGGCTCATGGGCCTCCCCAATCCTGCCTTCCCATCCCCCATCCAAGGACAAAAGGTGTGAAGGCCTGGAGGGGAGGGGGAGTCAAGGAGCGCACCTCACCCCCAGATCTGAGCTTTGGGCCCTCCTAGGGTCCCCCTCTCCCCCACCCAGACACCCCACACTGGACTCCCCAGCTTAGAAACAGCTCCACCTCGCCACCTGATCCCTCAACCCTGGCGATTTTACCTCTAAATTCCTCTAGAGGCCCTCCCTAGACCGGGCCTCAGCCGATCCCACTGTTTCAACTTTTAAATCTGATCTGCCTCTCCCTGGGGGGCCTGGAGCGGCTGGCCCCCCCTGCCGCCCTCTCCTCGCTCACTTCCGGACCCTAACTCAGCTTAATCCCCACCCATCATCTCTCAAGGCTCAGGTGCCACCTCTTCCAGGAAGCCTGCCCTGAACCTGCCATGCTCACGAATGGGGGGGCGGGGGCCGGGCCAGGAGAATCGGGGCATAGGGTAGCCAAGGAACAACCCCTGACAGAAAGTCCACGGCTGACCCTTTCCTCCACCCCCGCAGTCCCTCCCACCCAAAATCTCTCCCTCACCCTGGCCCGCCAAATCCTCTTTTGGGGGCCCCCCTCCACTTCTCCAGGGACCTGCTGCTTCTGGCTGGGGGTCTGGACTCCCCAGTTCCACCGTGTCTCCCGCGTTGCTGTGAATACAAATGGCCGCCCTGCTCTGAGCACCGCGGGGGCCAAGCAGAGGACAGCTCCTAGTCGCAAGATCTGGGCAAAGCAGCTTGGATGGTCTTCCCTTCCCCACGCGCAAAGGGGCTCCCGGAGGGAGAGGGAGATGATATGAAGGTGAATATGGGGGGGCAGGGGTGGAGGGGGCACTAGGAGGAGGGGACTGAGGCCTGAGAGAGAAGGATGCCCGCATTTGAAAAGAGAAAGACTGCTCGCCTGGTGGAGGGAACAGCAAGTGCAAAGCGCTGGAAGGTAGATTGTGGGGGACACGTTTCTTCCACACTTGCACCAGAGGTCTCTGGCCCCCTCCCTCCTCCCACATGTGGAAATCGAACGTCGTGAAGCAACCCGCTTAGGGCCCCCAGGCCAGAAGGCCCGGACCTTCCCCACCTCGCCCTGGACCCGCTCCAGGGAGAGGCTTATTGTCCAAAGGTGAAGCCACGCGGTCGGCCAGCGCCTCTGGAACCCCCAACTGGCGACAGCTGGACGCTGAGTCCCCCAGGTGCGCCCTACTGCTCACAGACTACCCGCGCCTGGTCCGTGATTGTCCTCAGTTCTCAGCTAGCTCAGGCTCCCTGCCCTGCGCGCCGCTGATCCCGGGTCACTTTCGGTCTCACCCGGGGAGAAGGGGCCCAGCCTCGCCCCTGTTGCCCTCTGCCTCGCGGGCACCGCGGTGCAGCCTTGGGGCTGCGCCACCACCCACGCCGGCTTATCTCCCCGCTTTATCTCCCCCAGCTCTGCCGCCTGACCCCTGACCTCCACCAGATCTCAGCCGTTGCCCGGATGCCCTCCATGCCTCCCAGCCTCCGGGAGGGGGCCCCCAGGGCTCCCAACACTGCGGTTGGCCACTGCGCGCGCCTTGGCTCCGCGAACCACGCACTGGGCCAGCTTGGCCTGCGAGCTGGACAGGTCCCCAGACCTGGGGGACCGGGTGTGGCCGCTGAGGCCTGAGGCGGAGCCCGGGCCTCCCCAGCAACTCCCCGCCGCGCGCTCCGGCGGATCAGGGCGCCCCCGGGAGCGCTGGCGGAGGCGCGGGGCAGAGCCGAGCCAGAAGAGGGGACCCGGGAGGGGGCCGGGGAGGACACGCAGAGAACAGAGGAGGAGCGGGGGCCGGAGTGAGCGCTCAGCAGACCGTGCTGGATTCAAAGGCGAAAGATAAAGCGCACGCAGGAGGCTGGAGGCTGGATTCGGGCCGGGAGCGCCTCGGGGCCGGGAGGGGCGGGGCAGGGGGCGGGGCCATGGGCGGGGCCCGGGCAGCGGCCTAGTCGTGGAGAGGGGTGCCTGGCCCCGCCCCGCCCCGCCCCGCGCCCCCTCCAGTCTTCCCTGTCGGCCCCGGGCCGAGGCGGCGCCGCGAGCAGAGTCCGGCTGCCTCGTGCGCGCTGCGCGTGTCGCCTTCTCCTCCGCATCTGCCACCAGGCGCGCCGTCCCCCGCCCCGCCGCCGGCCCCTGGTGCGCCCCGCCGCCTGCGCGCCCAGGTAAGCGAGCGCCCCGCGCCCAGATCGCCGCCCGGAACGCCACCCTAGCGGCGAGCTCGGGCCCCGCCTCCGCGGCCATGGCGGCCCCGGCCCGGCCCCCAGACGCAGCCGCTCCGGCCCCCATCACCCCTCCCGGGACGGCCTCTCAGGGCTTCCCATCTGGTCCCAGGCCCGGGCCGCGTTCCCGAGAGAGCCCCGCTCCCCCCGAGGGCCGGGGCGCCGCTGCGAAACGCGGGAGGGAGTGGGGCCGAGCCTGGCACGGTGACGCGGGGGAATCCGGATGCGTGAACGCAAGGAGCGCGCCGGGAGTGGCGGCCCGTCCCCAGCGAATCCAAACGGAGCGCCTACTGGGTGTCCCCGACGTGCCAGGGCTGGGGATGGCGCCCGGGCCCCTGGCCTCGGAGCCCACAGCCCGGCCGTGTAGACGGCTGGGAACCGCGTAAACAGAGAGACGCAGATCATTCCAGCCAGTGCTCAGTGCGAGGAGGACGGCGCATCAGGGGGATGGGGTGAAGGCCAGGAAGGGATCCTCGGAGAAAGTGACATCTGGGCCTGAGTGGTCCAGCCAGCGAGGGCTTTTTAGGTCCCCAAAACAGCCAGATTCTGAGGCAGGGCCCAGCTTGATGTGTTTGCAAGAGCAGAAAAGAGGCCGGCGTGGCTGGAGCGCGGTGAGCCAGCGTCAGCGGTGGGGAGAGGTGGGCCCGGGCCTCGAAGATGGCGAGGAGTCTGTGGATTCCATTCTCAAGTCTGTGGGGACCACGAGGCTTAAACACGGTCTCCTTGTGTCTTCAGAAGATCCTGCAGCTGCTCTGGGCAGAAGCGATGGCAGGAGACCTGGGAGGAGCCTGCAGGTTGGGACCCGACTGCTAGGGGTGGTGGATAGTGAGTGACTTGGGGGTTCATTTTGGCCGAAGAACGTCATCTGTGTCCCCCGCCTGCTCAGAAGTGGGGCCCAAAGAAGGGTCCGTGAAGGAGATTTCTGGCCTGGGCAGCTGAGATTATGGAGGGGCCTCTCCTTGCCTAGGTGGGGAAACTGAGGGAGAAACGAGTCGGGGGGGCGGGGGGCGGCTGTCGTGGCTGAGTCTGACTTGCGAAACCAATGAGATGCCACCTGATTGCCGAGGCTCCTGGAGGCCAGGCGAGGCCCCAGGCCGCCGAGCGCAGAGCCCCACTGGGGCAACCCGGACCTTAATGCTTGGCGCTGTCTGAGATAGAAATTCTTGGAAGCCCCCCGAATCTCTAGCCTCAGCGCAGGCCCCTTTCAAGAACAGGTGCTGTGAATAAAGCTGGTGATGGTCCCGGGGGGAGCCTGGAGCCAGCTCAGCACACCTGGGGACCGGAGGCTGGAGGGAGGAGGCAGTCAGCCGTCAGATGCAGGCAGAGCATCCTCCTAGCCTGGCCTCCTGGCTCAGCCACTCCTGGCAGTGGTGTCTTGAGCGGGGAGGGAAGAGGCGGTGGAAATAAGCTGTGAGCCTTGGTCGGGAACTTTCCTGAGCTTCAGTTTGCCCATCTGTAAAATGGGTCAGCAGCACCTCTATCTGGGAGTGTCGTTGGGAGGAAAGGAAGTCTTGGCTAGGAAAGGGGCTGGGCCAGTCCAGTGGCAGCCTCTGGCCTGAGGGGCTGGGGGTGGGCTGCGGCGTAGGTGGGAGTCCAGGGTCCCCAGAGCCTCCGTTTCCTGCTCCGAGAAATGGGAGCGATGCGGAAGTGCGCCCACCTCCAGACAGATGGAGTGAGTCAGGCGTGTGAAAGGGCTGCTTGGTAGAGCACCTGACACGGAGTGATTACTCAGCGCTGGGGTGACTGTGGGGGGGGGGGCGGGCTACCCCTCCCCACACCCCTGGGACGCCCACAGGAAAGCAAACCCCGTGGGACCCTGCTCCCTTTGCTGGACACCGGAGGCTGCCTCTGACCTCCTCCTGCCAGTTCGAGTTTAGTCCCCTAAGGCTACTGACTCCACCTCCTCCTACTTGTTTCTTTCCCTGTAAAATGGGAATAATATCAGTCATCACCTCGGAGGGGAGCCAGCCACTCTGCTAAGAAGCACCTGGTAAAGGAGAGGATGCCTTGCGGGGAGGGAGTCTGGACGCATGGCCTTATTCATCCTTGGGAGCTGGGAAGGCTTCTTGGAAGAGGTGACCCTCGGCCAGGGAGCAAAGATGTGGAGGGGAGACACTGCGGGGGGCCTGGGAGGAGCTGCCCAGAGCTGCCCGGAGGCGACAGCATCCTGGATGGACAGCTCCATCAGGAGCTGGACCAGGTGGAGGTTGGAGGAGGGAGAAGTGGGTGGATCCTGGAGAGATCTGAAGTCCGGGGTTGGGGGGAGGTGGAGTAGCCCCTGACTGGGGAGCGCAGGGTCCCGTGCGCGACAGCAAGGTGCGGGGTGCACTTTGGGAAAAAGGGAGTCTGGAGCTCGCGAGACGGCCCCGCTCTGGAGGATGGAGTGGTGAGGGGGCAGGAGGAAACCAGGAGCAGGTGGCAAACCAGAGGCCGAGGGAGCAAGGGCTTCCCAAAGGAGGAGCAGGTCAGCCTCAGCCATGTCTGAATCCCCTGCTTGAAGGGTTCCTCCCCGTGGCAGGGGTCTTATGCCCTTATCTGGCTGCCCTTCCCTGCCATCCCCTCCCCCTGCTCCTCCCCCCAAGCCATTCAGAATGGGCTTTTCTTTGCCACCCTTGAATGGGTCCCTCAGACCCAGCCTAGCTCTGACCAGGGTGACCTAAAGGGGGCCTTTCTCCTCCCTCAGTCTGGAGTTTATACCTTTGTTAATATGATGCTGTTACACCAGTTCTCCACACGGAACCTGCAGGAGCTCAGCTCTCACCCCACCTGTCCTGGGCTCATTTGCCCCAGGGTCCCACGACTGTGTCTCTAAGGAGGGGTCAAGCCCCTTCCAGCCATGCCCTAGGGACCCCCTCTGCTCTGTGCTTGGCTCCGCCTCCTTTCCACCCCTGCCTGTCTGTCGTTTATTCATTCAGCACATACGTATGAAAGGCCTGCACTGGGAGGCACTGGGGACCAGCATGAACAAAAACGAAGCTTCCCCACTGCCCCCCGCCTCGTGGAGCTGATGTTCTGGGAGGAGCGGAGGAGGGAGGGGCATGAGATCTGAAGAATGAGAAGGAGCTCGCCAGGTGGACATCCATAGCAGGAGCATTCCAGGTGGCAGGCCCGGCATGTGCAAAGGTCCTGGGACAGGATGGGGCGTGGCGTATTGGAAGAAGGCTGGTATGGCTGGGTGGAGCAAAGTGAGCCAAGGGGGAGAGGGGGGAGAGGGGCAGATGAAGAGACTGAGGGTCCTAAGGGCCCCCAGTCCGACCACAGCAGACCCTGGCAGGTCCCTGCTGGAGGGGTGGGAGGTGGTTGGCCCTGCTGCTCTGTGGTTTGTGGGGGGGTGGCTTGGGTCCTTTGTCCTCTGTGTGTTGGGGGCGATGGACGCAGTGATGAGGACCAGGCAGGAGGAGGCGGCCAGGGTGGCCACTGGGTGGGCAGGTCAGGATGGTCTCAGAGAGGTGACGGGCGCCCTGAGGACACGGGGATGGCGGGCAGGCGCCTGGTGGGCCTGGAGGACGAGCAGCAAAAACCACAGCAGCTGTGTTTTGAGGATGGCCCCGCCACCAGCCCGCTGTCACCCCCTGTCCAGGTGGAGGAGAAAGGGCTCGAGCCCCCCCCCCACCCTGTCCCCGACGTGGGCAAGGCTGGGTCACCCTTCCGCCCCGTCACTAGCGTGCACCCCCAACCCCTCTGGCTTCAGGGTCTTCCCCGAGGGGATTCGGACCCTCGGAGCCTGAAACCCACTTCAGAGGTTCTGCTGAGCCAGGATGCCGTGACCGGGTCTGTCCCCATCCTGCTGGTCCCCCTCCAGATCGGGGATGGGTGTGCCTTCAGGCAGCTCCCTTTGGCCCTGGCTCAGCGATGACGGGGATCCTGGCAGGCGCGAGGGGGCCGCAGCGGGAGCAAGGGGAGAGGGGTAAACTGTGAGGAGATGACAAGGGACAAGGACAGTGACAGGAGGGGAGAGCAGGCAGGACGAGCTTTGGAAACGTCTGCCTCTGGGTCTCGTTTCTGCATCTGAGAGTTCCTTAGGGCAGGTCTAGAAGTAAAGCTGACCCCTCCCTGCCCTCACCTCTTCCCTGTCTCCCCTCTGCTCCAGCCCCAAGGACTCGTGTCTATGCCTTGAATCCCCCCCACCACGGCCCTGCCTCAGGGCCTTTGCACAGGCTGCTCTTGCTGCCTTGAATGCTCTGCCCCCATGGCTGCCTCCCTCACCTCCTTTGCTCAGATATCACCTCCTCAGGGAAGCCTTCCTGACCTCCCTGTTTAAAACTGTGGCCCCCACCGCCCGGCTCCTGATCTCTTCCCCCCAGGCCTTTTTTTTTTTCTCACGAATACCTGACATAATAAAACAAATTCATAAAACATGGTGTTTGCCGCCTCCCAGCCCTACCCCGTCCAGAACCTCAGCTCCGTGAGGGTGGGAATCCTGACCTAGCCTGTTCCCTGTGGAACCACAGTGTAGACTCCGGCACCTGGTACACAGTAGGTGCTCAATAAATGTTTGTGAAGTGATGACAGGCGTCTCAGGCACTTCTGGCTACAGACCGAGAGGCTTGGCTTGGATGCGGGGGTGCTCATGGGGTGGCAGGCTCTGGAGACAGGCCGGCTTAGGTTCCATCCCCCCTCTCCCCTTCCTACTTTGTGCCCACAGACAACTCTGGGCCTCAGTTTCCCCAGCTGCAAAATGCAGACGCCAGAAGCACCTGGCGCTGGACCCCTGCTGCCGCTTCCTGGGGGCCTGGCTGGAGCCTGGAAGGAGTTCGGGGCAAATCAAACTCTGAGGCAGGACTTCCCCACGTAACCCTAGAATTTTCCAGAAATGTGTTGAACATGAGGGGAGGTACTTCGGGAGGGGGGTGGGCAGAGCCTCTGTGAAGAGGTACCGTTTGAGCTGAGCCCGAGGCCCAGCCGGGGATGCACACTGCCTGGCCCCGAGTGCCCTCCGTGGG